TCATAAGTAAGACAGCTCGGGTACGGTTCGGTTATTTGTAAAATGCTCTTGGGTTATCGTGTCCAAACGCGCCACCCGAATCAAAAAATTTAAACATCATACGTCTAGCCAAAGGATAAAGCTTTAATTTAAAACAAAGATTTCAGTTTGAAATATGCACATTTTTCGTACACCCCGATTGCGTGGGTCGACTATGTAGTAGTAGATAAACTACTATTATTTGTTTATCGACTTTACATGGTATTTTGAATTTCGATTTTCGTTCAAAAAGCTACTGTGAATAGCTTTTAGGCACTCATCCTTCTACAACTGTTTGTTTGTAGAAGGATGAGCGCTAAGAAAATATTCACACTCACCTATTGTATGAGAAAACGACATTCAAAAAACCATGGAGAATCGATAATCGTAAAATATTCGTTTATCTACTAATAGTCGACACTCGCAATAGGGGTGGTAAATTTGTAGGTGGATTTTGCGCAAAAATTACGTGCATGGCGTAACCGGAGTTGGACTGATGAGGTTATCTTTTCTAGCGCGGCCGAAGGCGACCACCGCGGAAAAGAGTTTTGCCTAATACGAATTTAATTTTTCTTTGCGAAAATGCTTATTTCACCCTATTTTAAAATGGCCCTCCGAGTGCCTGTAGAAGGGGCAGGGGAGAAGGATGGATTTTCTTAAATTTTATACCTACTATGCTCTTTTTAATGAGTGTTGTTTTAGGTGACACACCCCTTCTCCTTCCGTTCTCCTCGAAAACATCATTGTACAAATGACCGAACATTTCCCACGCACAACATTAAATCCTCTGATTTATTGTTTGATTGCTAATAATGCAGCAAGCTAGCTTACAATTTTGTACAATTTATGAAACTTCAAAATCTTATTTTTTGTCAAAAGTTTTGAAATGAAACTACCTTCTTTTTGTATCATGGTAGATACTGCCAATATAGAAGTATTACATATGTGATGGCAGCTCTACCGGTCGCATTCACAATAGTATAAAAAAATGGAGGAATTTCCAGCTGGAATGTTTTGACAACTCAATTGTTTGTTTCCTTTTAGCATTTTGATATTTATTTAACTTGAGCAGAATTCACTGGATAATTATTTAGTTTTACGTTCCAAAGATCAAAGATTAAAATGGAGGATGGATTTGACGATACGAGTTCATTTGCAATGTAAGAGCCTCACGTAAATAATTGAATTAGTGCTAAGCGGCATAGCATAGAAAATGTCAAAGATGGCCCCTACAACTATGGAACTTTACACCATTATGGCGACTGAACATAGCATACCTTCTTTTCGTAACAGATTTAAGTTTATAGAATTTATGAAAACATAACGAATATTTGAAAATATCTGCATATGCATACAAAACGCATATCTATTTTCACAACGTTAATGTGTTGCTAATGTTCACTTCTTTGTTTCTTAGAATGACACTCGACGAGAGGCTGATTGAATTAGTACGGAGCCACAAAATACTTTACAACAAACATTGCGTCGGATATAAAGGCCTTGAGGCAAAAAAGGAAGCATGGAACGCAATCGGCGAGCAGTTAGAGACCACAGGTTAGTGAATTGAATATTTATTAACCTACATACATTCATATCTACATTCGTATTAAACAAATTCTACATAGCGGATGAATGCGCAAAAAGGTGGACGAGTATACGAGAACGTTATTCCAGGGAACTGAGGAAACTTGAAAAACATTCACGAAGTAAAGAGCATGTAGTTATAGACTGGCCCTATTTTAGCTCGCTTTCTTTTCTCAGAGAATTTGTCAAGCCAAGAGGGTAAGTATAAATTTATATTTTATTATTTAAAGATTAGTGTATTAATGTATATAACTCCATTCGAATTTTTAGTCCTCGAAGTGCAAGCAATGACACACGGGGTTGGAACTCTCCTGCACCACTAAAAAAGTTCAAAAGCTTTAGTGCTGAAAGTAATGACTTTTCCGATGAAAGCAATCCGCTAGAAGATATCTGCATACCGAAAGTTGAGATGCCAATAGAAATTCAAAATGCTGTACAATCCTTTGGTCAAACTGTAGCTGCAATTCTATCCGAAATGAGTGAAGCAAAGCAAGCAAGGGCAATGCGCGTGTTATTTAATGCTTTAATATCTATTAAAACAGCACCCGAAGAAACTTGAATTAAGACAAGTACGGTTTTAGCATTCACCTTTCTAGTATGCGACTACAATTTGGTGTATTTAGAATTGCAGTATATATTGGTCTTACTAATAATAAGCGTCTTCTTGCTAGAAATTTACCTAAGGGCTCATTGAAGCTAGTGTAATAGGGCACTAACTGCATTTTTCTGTAAATAAATACATATTTTAATTAACATTAATTTGCTGCTTTAATTTTTGTTTTAGCAAAGAACGTACATAGATAACTACTAAGATTCGAACATGCATTCAATAGCAGCAGCTGCAGCTAAATTTTGTTCATTTTTTGCAAGGCGAATTTATATAAGGTGATAGCAGGAGTACAAAAACAAAAACTTACATGTATTTTGCTTTGGCGGCATAAACTGTCAAAATCTGTAAGAGTGTGTGTGGAAATTCAAACAAAATTTTTAAATTTGACATAAGAAGCCGTGAGGCGAAACACATACACAAAATCAGCTGATCTAGTAACACCACCTTATATAAATTCGCCTTGATTTTTTGTTTCCTAATTATTTTCAATTTCTGAATAAACAAGTTTAGATATAAATTTCAAATCTTTATTGTTTTTATATTGGCACAACGCAAGGTGTTGTCAGTAACTTAACCTCACTTTTTCGGCAGGTCTATTCCGGTCACGCATTTTAAAGTAGTAGAAAAGGTACTAATTACTTATTACTTTTAATCCGTTTGTGCATACTATTTCAAATTAAATGTAGGAAAATGTATAGTTACAGGCTTACAAGCCTGAATATATGTTTGTATCGTCAGCTCCACAAAGCTTGGACATATATTGTAAGTTATGAAAAAGTAAAGGCCGTAAAATAAAGCAATTTCCTATAAGACTGTAAATGATTTTTTAAATACATTAAAACACATACAGCCGGGCTCCCGTTTCCGAATTCGCAAAAATTTTGGTTTTAGTTTTCATATCGCATAATTGCGCGCTCTCAATCGTATATCGCAAAATTTTCGCGTCAACAGTATTATCCAAATGCGTCTCATTTATACCAAAGACAGGATTGAAAGAATGGGAAGCCTCATAGCGAAAGAAAGAATTTATTCCGTTTCTAAGTTAAAATTTTGTATACAAAAAATAAATGAAGTGTTAAAAAGAATATAAATATCGCCTTAAGCGACAGAAAACGATTCGTACAGACGAGTTGCCTTCGGCGGACGTTTTAGAGGGACTGACAATAGTAAATCGATAAAATGGCGATATTACCGGCAATAAATTTGTTTCCGAGGGCGACACATTTTCTTATTACCAGCAACAAAAATTGTTTGGTGGGTGACGTTGAGTACATCTGCTTTAATGTATATTTAACATGGCATCTCTGTTGGGCGCATTCACAATAGGATAGAAACAAGGAAGAATTTCCAGCTGGCATGTTTTGACAATTCGATTAATTTGTTTCCAAAGCATTTTAGTATTTATTTAACTTGGGGAAAATAGTTCATTGCATAATTATTTATTACTGCGTTCTGAAGATCAAAGATTAAAATGGAGGATGGATTTGATGATATGAGTTCATTTGCATTGTAAGAGCCTCACGTAAATAAGTGAATTAGTGCAAGCAACATAGCATAGAATCTGTCAAAGATGATCTACACAATGGAATTTTACACAATTATGTAGACTGAACATAACATACTTTTCGTAACAGTTTTAAGTTTATAGAATTAGTGACAACATAACGAATATTATTTTGAAAATATGTACATATGTATACGAAACTCAAAACTATTTCCACAACGTTAATGTGTTGTTAATGTTCACTTCTTTGTTTCTTAGAATGACGCTCGACGAGAGGCTCATTGAACTAGTACGGAGCCACAAAATAATTTACAACAAACAATGCTTTGGACATAGAGGCCTTGAGCAAAAACAGGCAGCATGGAACGCAATCGGCGAGCAACTGGATACCACAGGTTAGTGTAATAATATTCAACTATTTATTAACCTACATGCATTTAATAATAAGAATAAGAATAGAATAAAATAAATGAATAATAAAACAAATAATGAAAGAAATAATTAAATAAATGATTAATAAAATAAATATGTAAGTAGAATGAAAGAATAATAGAAATTCAATAATAGAATTTATTTTTGAATCATAGCGGATGAATGCGCAAAACGATGGACGAGTTTACGAGAACGTTATTCCAGAGAGCTGAGGAGACTTGAAAAACTTTCAGAAAGTAAGGAGCATGTAGTTGTAGACTGGCCCTATTTTAACTCGCTTTCTTTTCTCAGAGAATTTGTCAAGCCAAGAGCGTACGCATGAATTAATATTTTATTGATTAAAGATTAGTGTATTAATGTCCATAAATACATTTGAATTTTTAGTCCTCGAAGTACTGGCAATGAGACGCTGGGTTGGAACTCTCCTGCACCACCGAAAAAGTTTAAAATGTTTCGTGCTGAAAGTAATGAATTTTCCGACACAAGCGACTCTACTACACCACCAACAAAGTACAAAAGCTTTAGTGCTGAAAGTAATGAATTTCCCGACACAAGCGACTCTCCTGCAACACAAAAAAATTTCAAAATCTTAAGTGGTGAAAGTAATGAATTTTCCGATGCAAGCAATCCGCTAGAAGAAATCTGCATAGAAAAAGTTGAGATGCCAATAGAAATTCAAAATGTCCAATCACCTGCTGCAGGAGTTATTGTTAACACAGAAAATGCTGCAACAATAAAACGGATTAGTGCTGTACAATCTTTTGGTCAAACTGTAGCAGCAATTCTATCGGAAATGAGTGAAGCAAAGCAAGCAAGGGCAATGCGTGTATTGTTTAATGCTTTAATAACTATTAAAACATCGCCCGAAGAAACTTGAGTTTAGAAAAACAGCGCTGTAGTTCTTACCTTTTTTAGCTGCGACTAGAATTGCAGAATATTTTGCTCTTATTAATATACGGTGTTTTATTAATACTAGCCCTTGAACAAGGGATTAATTGAAGCGGGCTTTTTCTTTAATTATATGCATACATACATACACATTTTAATTAACATTAATTTGGTACATAGTATTTTTTACAATTCAATGGTCGCCGCGAACAACGCTGAAGCGATAAGACTATAATTTTGTAAAAATAAAAGAAAACTAGTAGTAATCCCCGAAAATCGGGGTGCTCGGTAGTCTAAAAAATCTGCATATTTCTTTATTCCTTATTGCTTATTGCTTTTGGTAGTTAACTTTAACTTGGTATTTGTGCAAGATCGTACTCTACTCAATGCGCCATGGTTTAAGCAATCCTTTTGCTAGGGTCATTGTTCGAAAAAAAAGCCACCGATCCGGTTCTATCGTAGCAGATCGAAACCCATGGCATAACGACATAACCTAGGAAAGTTGCCCAAGCAGCTAAACTGTGTTTTGTGTCGTGAGGTTATAATATGGCAATGTATAGGATGCAAAAAAATGTTATGCCTTGTCAAATAATGTTTTAAAAATTAGTACGCATAAGTGCCCGCTGTACTAAAAAAAGCACACTCCCAAAAGTTAACTTTTAAGCTTTTTTCGTTAATTTTAATTCCTAAGTTTGTTTAAAATGGCTTTTATGATCACATAAATAAAATTAGATGTAATAAAATTTCA